CAATCGAATTTCCACTGTGTGCCTTTGAAGCTTAAGTTGATTTCGGAACGTACGGCGGTAATTTCGTTGAGCGAGGGTGTAAACCAAAATGGTTTTTATTGTTCGCTGTTAAGGTAATATTTTGTTTGCGGATTTGTTTAATGTGAGTAATTTACCGGTCGAGCGGAGGCTCGAGGGAGAGAATCAATTTATGCCGGGAGGAGCCTTCGATCGCTTCATAGTTTTTAGTTACACCGTGATAACAGATTTTCTTATCTCATGTTGAGGGGAGAGTGGTTGTTTACGGGTAATTTAGATTCATCAGAATTCTTTGTGTGTTCATCTATATAATAAAAGAAAGTCGTGTTAGTTACTCCACTTATAACTCAAGAACGGCTGAACCGATTTAGCTGAAAATTGTCAGGGAGGTAGTTTAGAGCCAGGAGAAGGACATAGGATACTTTTTATCCCGTTCGAAATTAAAAAAAAAGTCTGCTTATTTATTGCCATTAAGGCGGAACAAAGTTCGCCGGGTCAGCTAGTTTCTTATAAGAAAGGTTTTAAGTTGATTTCAAGAGTGCTGATTTTTGTGAATAATATACAAGGATAATAAATTGATTTGTATTACTAATACCTCTACGACTACCCGAAAAAATATTTGTCTCAAATATCTGCTATTTTCCGTTATATTTTGCTGTTATTCCTTTTGGTATTATTAGAGACAAAATAGAATTTTCTAAGAAGGCCCCGAATTCCGGTGCTGAAATATAAACAGTTGAAGGAAACGAATATTTTCCTCAAACAACAACTATTTACAAACGAAAATAGCGACCCAGATTAAGCTGAGCAATAAAAGAAGTTACTATCTAAATAATACAGTTATTCTGATATAGCAGGACGAATATTAATGGAAAAACATAAATAAAAAATACTTTTTCTCTAATCCAACCGCTGTTAAAACTTGTAGTCTGCAGATTATGTCTTAATCGAGCAATATGACCTATTAGAACATCTTCAGACAGTGCAAACAAACCCCTTCTAGTCAGGCATGTACCTACCACGCTAAACCGCACTTAACAAGAGAAAAATGCGGTTAAATACCAGCTTACAGTTAAACAAAAAACTTAAAAGTTCACACTGCCTGGGTGCTAAGCCCAGGCGTAAAGCGCTGCTTGCCCCAGATTTAAAGGCAGTTATTCAAACCTTTGTAAGGATGTTTTTGCGCGCGTAAGTTTACACCATTTTTATTTGCACAGCAGCTCTAAAGCAGCGTTTTATTCCCACTTTAGAGAATAAAGTTCCATTAGTTCGCGAGTTAGCTCGCGGTTGAGGTATGAACCACATGAGGTTTTTACCATAAAGTAAGTGGTAGCAGCAAGTTCAGCTTGGGTTTGTTGTAACTTACCACAAGATGCTTCGAATAAGAATCGAACCGTGAAGACTTTTCAAAGGGTTACATTTAGGGAGGGACTTTTCAAAGCGCTACAATGGATTGTATGCATACCTGGCCTCGAGATCTTAAATTCGATTCGTGTTATAGTCTAGAGTTCTAAAATTTCGATTGTATGTGATCATTGAAGACTGAAAAGTTCTAATCTTGTAGCTATTACTTATCAAATGAATACTACAGGACTGATACTACTGTGTCTCTTTATTTTACGACAGAACCGCGTAGCAACCGCAGAGATGGTGTGAAGCGCTCTGTATTAAACGGGCAGGTATTTTAATATCTTGCAAAATATGTCCGCGAAGTTTATTTTTAACTTTATTAGGCTTTCGTGGAGATACATTTCTAAATAAGCCGTTTTAATAGAGTCAATATAATTTCTCATTTTTTACAACGATTACCAACTTTTTTAAAACAACATTAATCGTCAATAATTGCTGTGTGAAAGTGCTTTTTAAAAGCCTATTTGCAAAAATAAATGAATTTTATGAATTTTATTTTAATTTTGTGTACTTTCTTACTTTTCTTTTTCTAGAAGCCCTAATGATTTCATCTTAGCATAACAACAGAACATTTTCATATTATTTGTAGAAGTTTCCCTAACAAAAGACAACCCTTGAAGAGCCGATGTATTCAGAAGCCTGAAAACTTAATAAGAGCAGCATTAACGAGCGGAGGATGCTCAGGCCTCTCCAGCCGCAAACGAACGCGACGATAGGGCGCGACCACATGGCCGACATTCACATAGAACAACACTAGTGTTCTTGCAAATGCAAACATCATCATCATCATTTCAGCCGTCCACGTAGGACGTCCACTGTTGATAGCGGCCTGCACCCAGCACCTTCCTGCTACCTTTATCAGGTCGTCGGTCCACGCTGCGTTTTCCGGTACGATAGTTGACCATTAACAGGTCTGACTAATCTAATCTCCCATACCTAAAGTTACGTGGATCTCTCCTAATCAGTGAAAATTTATCAAACCTGTCGCTCGCATAAGATACTTTCCGAGAGAGTAAAGTGGATATAATTTAATTTCTTAGGTATATGTCTGAGCTGAGATCTACTCTTGACGCATCTCTAGTAGGTATCTCCTTTACGTTGGACAGAAGCCTTGAACTATTTTTTTTAATGCTAGACAAGACAGGTATTTGACCGCAGTCGCACCTGGTGTTAAGTGAGATGCAGTCTAGGATGGTCTGCTGCTTCTGCTGATCTTATTGCGAATCTATTAACAGGTTAACTTTCCTTTACACTAACTAAACAAGGTGGACACGACCAAAGTCTCGTATAACTAAGTAAAAAAATAAGTTAAAGTTATGAGTATAATTTTAAAAGTGTGGTCTGAGCCTAACCCCTGAATAAAGGGTCCTGGCCAAGTGGCGCGGAGTCAGGCGGCGACGGCCCTCCAAGCCTCTCCAGAGCTGATGTATTATATAACTAGTTTTTACCCGACTACAAACAGGCTGAAGGATGAGTAATGACGTTTTGACGCTCAGTGCGTAAGCTCTTCATTGTAGTTTTGCCCATAACTTTCCGAACTACGCATTACCTTGTTCTACTTCCAATAAACTTTCTTGTAACTTACGTGAGGTTTAACATCAGTTAAAGAGGGAGCGAGTCACACCTATCTACGTCTCCCACCTTATAGGGTATAACGATAAGTTTGTTAACAGCGATGCAATGTTGAAATTAAGATTCATTCAAATGTTTGCTTGCAATTTGTGTCGAAAATACATAGCCATTGAATCGACCACAAACTCATTTCAAAAAGAAGTTGTACCGGTCACTGCTTCTAAATCAACAAATGCGAATCAAACAGTAGGCGTACAAAGACTCACATAAATGATCCCAACAACAACCATAAAAAAGCCATCGATTTGATCAAGTTCCGGCGAACAACGAACATCTTTAATCTCTAAACGTGTCGATTCTACAGGCGCTCGTTAATCACGCCCAACAAGCGTTAAATCAATCGAAACCATTTGTATCGACTTGTTCCAATCGAGTTTCAGTCGAATTATTCCTCGTTGTTTGTGTCGATTAAAAAGACTGTCGGATTTCAGTGCAAAGCTGTTTAAGCTAAACATCAAGATAATTCTGTGTGATCTTATGTAATTCTAATTAGTAAACATACATTTTCTCGATTACAATATGAGCTTGCTCATCAAAACGACCATGTCGTTTTATAGTGAACGCTTCTTCTACGTTAGGCAGGTTAAAAAAGGAGTTACATTTTTACTTGGGGTAACTCAATATTGACAGTAAATCTATACTTTCAAATACAGTACAATCCAATAAAGTTCTAATAAATTAAATAAAGATTTTCAACTCAGCTACTCAAAACTAGGTTGAAAATCTATCAATAATATTTCATAATGCTACGAGCCTATATCTTAATATTTCCAATACGTAATTTAAAAGTTGTATAACCAAAACCATCATAGCATAATTTCTAAATCAAGTTCAGATTCATTTAGTCAGTTTTAAAGTAAACAGTTTATTAAAGATATGAGCCCAGACAACATAAATTGCTGCTCATAATAAGTAACATAAGTCGCTTCTCGCACGCGCTCAGTTAAGCTCACGAGATTCATTAGAAACACGACGCCAAACTCAACTGCTTCATACTAATACACAAGCTTATTCTTGAGGTATGTTTATGTAATGATATTGGTATTCATTTCTTACATTTGATAAAAAATAATTACATATTTGCAGGTTGATTGTTTTTTTATGCATAACAAGGCAGGTATGAGTATTTGACCACAATCGCGCCTGGTGTTAAGTGGGATGCAGTCCAGAATGGTACATAAATATCTGCCCTGTTATCAATTGAAAGTCTATTTTACACATCCATTAGCATTTTTTCTGATATTACAAATATTATTGTGATAACTGCTGAACTTTCATGAAAATACAGTAATACGAAGTTCGCAGTTCCGGTGGCTTTCAAAGCTTTATCGGTGTTTTGTGTAATGTTTTTATATCGGCCGGGTTATACCAGCGACCTCCTTCACTCCCCCGGTCTCATTTCCGACCGGGTCGAAACGTTAAACATCTCGCAATAGAAATAGAAAAAACAATACCGAAGATTCATCTCGTCGCAAACGAAGATAAATATACCAATCGAGGGAGCGATTGAGCAAATCTTTAGTTTATATAACTCATATTGTAATGGTTCTTGCTGAAGACGGAATCGACAGCAATCTTTTGCTATTGTCTCGACGATATTTACTGCGGGAGACAATATTATTGGCTTATTGAAGCTACGGGTAATAACAAGAAGGCAGATGACCCATAAATAAATAATAAATTGAACCTTATTTTTTTATACAACAGTCAATTCAGATGCAATCAAAATCAAAAATTACCCCCACCATGGAACCGCCGACGTTACGTAAGCGTCGGCCCGTTTAAAATCACTCATTATTGATTGAGCGTCCAAGCGTGACGGACGTGTAATGATGCAGAAAAAGAGCCGTTTTATTTTTATTTCTTAACATGAATTTTGTTTTATTCCTAAACAGTAAAGGCTTTATTATTAGCTGAAATAAGGGCTAGAATAGACTTACCTTTGCCGTGCAGCTGTTGTCTGTTCTCGGTGCCCTTGAGGCTCTCGGCGGTGTGCAGAAGCTCGTCCAACTGAGGCTTTTTCTGCTCCAACTCACGCAACACACCCTGCGGAGGAATTATTTGATTTAGTATTCTGGCAATATTTACAATACCAGGAAATGAAGGGCAATGTTTTATGAGGGCGTTTCGTTTTATGTGACTTTCTTTGATCGATCAAACCTAAAAATATGTTACCGGAAATGTGTATAATTCAGGTAAGTATTAAATTAATCGTAAGATTCTACAAAATGAATACATTACCTGAGCGTTTTTTGCATTCTATTAATTGCCTAGTTATGGCATAGAATGCCGGATTATACAGATTGCCGATAACATACGTATATGCAGTGGATTTGATAAATTACGAACATGTGAGTTTTTAGTGATCTGTGTATTAAATATTGTTATGCATTTAAAAAATGTACACTCCAATCTCACAGGCGTACTTTCCACTAACACTTCCCACTTCCCAACAACCGCTTTTGATCTAGTAATCGACTATAAACAGCCCCGTAAATTTCTGAAAACATTTCCGATAATATTCAGGGCAATAGCGACCGAAGTCCTCGGCCTTTGTTGGCGGCCACTCGGTTCTCTAATTTGTCATTCGGTTTGGCAAAAATGCGATCGCAAGGGCTCCGGGCCTCGATGGGTCCATTGTCCGGACAATACGGGCCCGCTAATGTTTACTTTTCCGTTTTCCTTGCCCTAGGGTACCTATAGGGTTGGCCGTTTGCTAAAAGTAATAGCCAAAGTCAAAAGTCAAAACATCAAAGACCTGTCACGATACCGGTAAGAAGGATTTTTATTAGAAAGAAAGAAAGAAAGAAAGAAACATTTATTGCCATGGACATCACAAAAGACAAAAGAGGTAAAATAAACAAAAAAAAGCAAATGAGACAGAGGTGACATAAAACATACAATGAAAGAGCAAGTAAACTAAGCAGTGCCACCCTGTCGCACAGCGATGCCCATCGCAATGGGACCCCACTCAGCATATGCCGTGGCCCCCGGTGAGGGAAGCCACGACGCTGGTTTTCAGTGTGCCCCATGCCGAGTGAGAGTCACGGACACTAACCTATACTGCATAAAATATACGTACATAAATAATAATTTTAAGTGTAAATACAGACGTAGTAGAAAATAATAATATACGATATAGACGAAGTAGAAAAGATGTGATAAGATATTTATAAATAAAAAGATAATATTTAAAAAACAAAACTGTGTGTGTGTACATAATAATAATAATAAATTGTAATGTATTAAAGTGCGTTTGTGTATACTGTGATTGTGTGTGTCTCGACGTCCGCAAAACAGTCTCGATCGATCGAATCATTCTGCGTGGTTGTGGCTATTCATAGCATCAGTTAAATCAGTTTGGCCCATAATCTTGAGCGCTTTAGTCGCATACCCACAATACAAAAATAATAAATAAACAAAATAAAATACATCTGTGTCAGATCAAATTAATTATATAAAATTCATTTACGCATATTTAAAAATATAATCATGTCAGATAGTTGTTATTACGATGTCAATTAATTGTATACAATCATAGTGGTGCTTAAATGCTATGTCGAGAGGAGAGAGTCAGTTCTATGAGAAGTCAAATCAAGTCAAGCTACTACAGTCCCAAATACGATGATCGGTGACCTACCTACCCCCGTGCTCGTTTGTCTGGAAACTTGAGGTATGGATACAAGTTACCTACGTTGATAATTGTGTACTAAAAACGTGTTCCCTGTACTTTTTTTTAAAAGTGCTTATTGTTTTTAGACTACGCAATGGCGGTGGCAAGTCATTCCAGCACTTGGAAGCGGCAAACCTGAAACTACCCCGAAAGGCAACGGTTCGGTGCGGGGGAAGGATGAGAGCGCTGCCGGAGCGACGGGTCTGGTGCGAGTGGACTTCCCGAGTCCAAACTAGTTTCTCCAGTAGATAAGTCGGAACATTGTGTTTTATTGTACCAAAAAGCAATGTAGCAAAGTGCAACGCCCTCCGTGAGTTCATTTTTAATATTTTAGAATTGTTTAAATATGGCGTAACGTGTGCTCTTGGCGGGATCGAGAAACAAAAACGAGCACATGAATTTTGCACACGTTGGATAGCTTGTTTGGTGCGCGACAGCAGCCGAGGTCCATAAACCACGTCCATGTAATTAAATTAATAACGTTACATTATAACACATTGAAAGTTTTAAGTTTTTCTTATTTTTATACAGACAAAGCAAATCATACAGAAATGATCTGTGTACAAAGTTTTTATAGTTTCATTATCCTTGGAACAATAACAAATACGAATACGTAAGAACTAAAGACAAATAGAAGCACAACGAATAATACCAACACTGCAATATTTCTGTAGATCTAAATTGAATCAAGAATGCAGCGCATAAACCGCGCTCATCACTTAGAATATAAAGCGTTTTACTCGGCACTAAAAAGCCAATAATCGCCGAGTGGCAACCCTGATCAAACTAGCCAATTCCGCTGGCCGTAAATAAGGCAGATAAAAAGTTGGTTTACGAACGCGGCGGTGCCAGTACTAACGGGATAACACGAACGAACACGTAAAAACTGGCTAAGAGAGAGTCTAGAGGCAGTACTAAAGGTTCTATATTTTGTAGAGCAGTGTTTTTCAGCCTATTTCATGACACGACCCAAGTATGAAAAAAAAAATTTTTTTTTTGCGACCCCCCGACCATTCGTTTTTTTTTATGCGTTTTTTAATGTTACAAAGATCTTGTAGGGACCGAATACTTCAATAAGCATTTGCATAATTTTGGATAAATCTATCTTTAAAACTTTTTTTTACGGAGGTAGTTTTTACGAGCTGTCGCGACCCCCCTATAGTGGCTGTTATAGAGCAACAAATAACCTTCAATTGCAAATTAATTAGCAGCATCAATAAAGCACTTCAAAGACGTATAAATTCTTCTAAAATATAGTTTGCTCTAGCGAAACTCAGCGGCAATATATCAGTTGTTAATGACAAATAGGTACATAGTAAGAGCACTCAACGGTTAATAACTTCGGATGCGTCCAAGTATTAATCCCACTGAGTGAATTATCATCAAATCAGCCATAAATCCATACCCATCTATGATGGGAAGCCGTAATCTCACCCGGATCTCGGTCTCACTTCCATAATCTTTATGCTCTACTAGCTTTTGCCCGTGGCTTCACCCGCGTGAACTTTAGTTTGTCACAGATCGTCATAAATTATAGCCTATATGTTATTCTGCGTTATAAAGAATAATACTGTAAAGTTTCATCAAAATCCGTTCAGTAGTTTTTGCGTGAAAGAGTAACAAACATCCATCCAGACATCTAGACGTCCAAACTTTCGCATTTATAATATTAGTAGGATTAACTGTCCTCATCAAAGGTTAGATTGTGCTGATGAAGATAATGAAATAAAAAACTTAACTTGAACATTATTTTTTTACGTAACCCCAAAAACGTAAAATGCACGTGAACAATTGAAAGGAAGTGGAAAACAACAGACGGGTCTAAAAGGTCTTTTTCCGTGGCGTGGCTTTTGGACTGTTAATTCTGGAGTCGTAATTTTAGCCCAGACAGTGTTGACGCCGAAATACAGCGGAAATAACATTAGGTACTACGGCTTGATATACCTACGACTGGTACGAAATATATGGGACTGAAAATCTACAGGATAGGCATTAATTACACTGAAATTATGACAATTATTCTGGCTGTAAGCTGTTGTTGTGTCCTTATACTAAGGCCAGAGTAATTCTGCTACCTTTATCAGGTCGTTGGTCCACCTTGTTGGTGGACGTCCTACGCTGCGTTTTCCGGTAGGCCATAGTATTTAACTGACTTCAAAATAGGAGGAGGCTCTATACAAAAGTATATCAGTGAACAAAACTGGACAAATTCGAGCCCAATCACGACATTTGAATAAAAACTTCTCAAACAGCAATCAATGTAAATTTTGACACGGTCGAGCCCACTATTTTGGCTATTGGCTTTAAACCAAGGCATCGTCGCGTGACCTGTTAATCTGCACTAAAAAGCCTACAATCAATTTAGGACAAGAATATCACTTTCACGCACAATAACCTTATTATGCTACCCGCCATATTTCACGGCACAAAGATTATAAATACCGAACAAAAGGGTGTCTGGTGGCTAAGCTCGTAAAACACGTAATAATTAGAACGTGATGACGTCACAACACGACCCGTTTAACTCGACTACCCACATAATTGTGTTCTCTAATAGTGAAGCTAATTTACTATGTGGATAATTTATAGGGACAATTAAGTTATCTGCCAGAGGGATACATGAGAACATGAAATATTCGATCAAAGTTCATGGAGCTTTCCATCATATTAATTTATCAAAGGAATGTTTATTTGTTTCCAGTTAAGAATGACATTAAAGGATTTGTTACACTGGATGCGTTTTGCAGGCAGTCAAAGTAAGCGCAGCCTATTAGATATAGCATTCTCTAACTATACATTTTGTATTAATACGATATGACCGTGCGGGCACGAGTAAACAAAGCAAACTGCACCGCACCGCTTGTCACGACAACTGACAGATTGGACCGCAGACCGTTCCCTGATCGAAAATGATGCGGGCTGCGTTCACTTTGACCTGAACACTGCCCGAAGAACGCGTCCAGTATGGCAAATACTTATAAACTCCGAATGATTGACCGAATAAAAAAATAATATGATTCCCTGTTTCAGAGAACGCGCTCGGTCGTCGAAGTCATGCCTATGGCCGTTCATTGGGTCTGACAATGGGATTGTGATCTCGGGAGGCTCGGATGCTGCCACCCAGACGATTAGAAAACATGAATGTATGGTAAAAACAGCAAATACAGGAACGGTTATGACTGTCAAAGGGTTAATTATCACGGAGTAAAGAATCGCGGAGGTAGTACAGAAAGTGTAAAAAAATTTCAGGGCACCACAGACAGCCAGAAAAAGTGTGAGACTTACTTTATGCTTTGACTACTGTTTATTTCAGTGCCACAAAGCAAACAGGAGTTATTAATCTTTAAATATTCTGGTGGACAAATGTTTTAGTTACTTAATATCTACGTCCAATGAAATTTGAAATTCATGGAATAAAATAAACACTTTCATTCCTCTCAGAACTCCGAGCGCATAAAAACAAACAGGTAGTTTAGGAGGAAGTATTAAATTCCTCGCGTTCCTCCGGGAGGGTATGCAGCCGGCTCGCAGAAGACAAATTAAGGACTTACTCAGCATTAGGGCAATAAACAAGATCACGCTAGTCTTGCATAACTTTAAAGTGTTAACACAAGAAAACATTTGTACTGAATTAACTACAGCTAGAAACCAAAGGTAAAGATTGAATGAATGGCCAGAGACCGAGGGAGCAGGCATTACAAGAGATTTATTTGATTCTGAGTGACTGATTATTGGAAAACTTTTTATATAATAAAATTACAATATCCAATTTATCCCCATAACATAATATTAATATTTTTATGATCAAATTATTTATTTATTTATTTCCACACACATTATCACTATCTTTACAGGTACTTAAAACCTAATGCGATAGCATAACTTAATCTAGGTAGGCTTAATAATAACTTAAAAACTAACCATACAGTATCTATTTACATTTTATAACTAATAATACCCAAAGCCGTCCTTGTGAATTCACTCAGAGAACACGCAAACACGTCCACTTGTTCCATTATGAAGAGAGAAGAATCAAAAATAAAGAGGATCATAATGAACCTGCCTACTTACGTTATGTGTATTCTTAAAATACCTTGTTGATAATTTCCGCCGCTTTTAATTTACTGTCTAATGTTCTATCCCAAAGTAGATAAAAGGCCTTTAAACTTATCAAGACTAAATTTACTTTTCGCCTCTTCTCCTAATCTATTCTCTAATCACTTTCTAATCAGCAAATCTGTTGCATTTCCATTATGGCACCAGCTCGATCTCGCGGGAACTTAAAACGCTAAAGGTTCAGTCAAACCAACGCGGCGTGCAGCCGGCGTGCACGATGGCAATGGCGATGGCGACCACTGCGCGTGCAAAAGTTGTTTCACACTGCCGCGACCGCGATGGCGATCACTGCGCGTGCAGGTTGTCACTGTCACGTACACTGTCACTTTCGCTTTCCAGGCGTTTACAATTTTGTTCTGCAGATAATATTCCAATTTAATTTAACAAGCATTACTGTATTAAAGTCTTTATTAGAGGTTGACACCTATCAGGGTTCTCGAGAAAACTAGAATAATTTGTTAATATTACATTAAAATAAATTCTGACATTGATACTTTATTTTAAAACCTTTTTTTATTTATCAAGTAGGTCAGACTAGTGGCATGTTATGATTAATTCATTTTAGTTATGTAAAACCTTTTTAACAGACCCTATTTACTATTTATCTAGGCTTTGTTACATCTACGATTTTAAAAAACGTGCACGCCGGCTGCACGCGTTGGTTTGGCCGAACCTTAAATTGCGCGCGCGCTTAATCTACGAGCGCTATCGCTATCGTGGCGTGGCGACGTATCGCTAGCGTTAACGACCGACTCTATCTGCCGGGCCGTTGATTAATCTTGCCGTGCTTCGTTTAGACGGAGACGGTTAATTGTGAAGTCTAGGTTAAAGCTATATAAGTGAATCAAAGTCAACTGATATGTGTGATAGTAATTATACCGTGACTCCATAGTAAGTTAGAAGCTCTACCTTCTGGCTGACTTTGAGAACGATTTCTTTTCAAGAGACTGAATTCCTTGCGCTGCTTTTCAACACTGGCCCATTTATTGTCCCGAAGCAGTGGTAGAGTTAATGCTGGAACGTGTTAAAATGCTTTTTAAAAGCTTATTTGCAAATTAAATTAGTTTTATGCATAACAAGACAGGTATTTGACCACAAATCGCAGCTGGTGTTAAGTGAGATGCAGTCTAGGATGGTACATGTCTGCCCTGTAAGTGCCTGTTCACTCTCGCCTTGAAAAGACCCGGATTATAATGTTCAGGAAAGACAGCAGCAGGCATTTATTTTATTAATCACCATTTTTAAAGTAGATATGCTTATTCAGCATCACAAGCTAATTTCGATAAACGTAGGTTATGGTGCTCAAAAACTTGTGATTGAAACCTAACTCATATTATGTGTTAGAAACTGCTGTACT